TTCCGGAATTGCTTGCAGACCCGGAGATTTGTCTGGCATGTATTTGCCCGGCCTCGACAATGGCGTCTTGCCGTCGCCGCCCAACAACTTCCCCTTCGCCCATTTCGCGTAGAATTCCATGGCTTTGCGGAAAACGTCGTCACCGGCCGTCACGAGCGGCATCCACTGCCTCAATGCATTGCCAACTGCAGCGACATCCTTGTCGGCGAGCGACGAATCTTTTTGTGCCAACGTCCAGTGAGCTCCAATCAGACTCTTTCCCAAAATCAGCTTTTGGAAATCAAAGAACTTTTGTTTTTCGGCCTCTTTGCCGGAAGGGTTCCCTTGAATGGCCATCGGCCTTCCTTCGTTCTCCCATGCATCCCGCATGTCCAAGAACGCAGCCTTCTGCGACCGCTGCTTAGACATCTTGTGTCTCGTGTTTTCGTTGAGACTGACCTGTCTATACCCCGCGAAATCTCGGTCGGAGAACCACACTACTCTCGCTGGCCACGAGTGCATCTTCCACAAATTGAATATTTGCTAACCCTCCAACTCCTTCACAGCAGCCACGGTGTGTTGTCCGTTAACAGGGTAATAGTAGTACTTGTCCTTGTCCTCGGCTTGAAGACATCTTTGTGAACCCTGTCAGCTTGCTTCGGCCTACGCGACACCGGCTTGTAGATGGGTGCCAAAACGAGAGGGTTTTTCGTCCAGATCTTCTTCTCGCGGAAGTGACTCAGCATCGCATCCTTGATGTCTTCCACAGTCTCGCGACTTAGACTGCGGTGGTTGTAATATCTTTCCCAAGGCGGGATGTCGCAGACCTTCCTGGGGTCGATGAGCAGTTGGACGGGGAGCTCCTTCTCCACGATTTCACCAACATCGTTCCGCTCGTATTCGAGCCAGAACGCTGCCGCTTCGTCGCACTCCTGACCGACAGGCCCTTCGCCACCGCTCGCCGCCTCAGCAGTCTTCCGCCTTCGAGGTTTCTTCTGGCCATCGCCTTCTTCAGCTGCCACTTTCCGTTTCGATTTCCCCAAAGGTTCTCTCGCGGCCGCAGCGCCTGGATCAGCCGAATCTCCTCCACCCGCGGCTTGTCCTTCGCGGATGGTCAAACCGCCTGGCCTCCTCGCTTTCTTACTTGCCGTCCCACCCTCTTCCTTCGTCGGCTTCTTTCCCGAGGCACGTTCTCCGTCGCCACCTCCATCCCCGGCCATCAACGCCTCCGGTTTTCCTCTCATCCTCTTCATGCGGAGGGTTCCTTCCGCCACCTCCTCTCGCACCATCCTCTGTCGCTTGCTCTTCTTCTCCGAAGGAGTCTGCTCCCCGCCAGAGCTTTCGCGGACAGCGCCCATCCCTTCAGCCTCATTCCCTCCAACATCTAGCCCCGATCTGCTTGAATCTCTTCTCGTCTCATCTCGAAGCGAATACGTGTCGGCGCCACAGCGGACCTTGATAAGTTTCGGAGTACCGACCCGTTGAGTCCCTGTACCCTGAGAATGCAAGTCCGACGTGTTCCTAGGAGCATCCGGGCCGACCTGCGTGTGAATGCTGCGTCCCTTGACCCGACCCCCAGCGTCTTGAATCGGACTCGCGCGCCCCACTGCCGTACCTGGAGTTTCTTGAGCCAAGCCGGACGACCCCTCACGGGGTGGCAGAAGCCGGAAGACATGCTCTGGCGGAAGAACCGGACGTTCTTTCGGCACCATCACCGCGAGATCGAGATATTGCTCTGGCGATGGACGACGCTTGCTGCCGCCATCGTAAAGGCCTTTGAAGTGAGAGCACAACGGCATGTTCGAGCCGTACCCCGCGAAACTCTTGATGGTCACCAGCACACCTTTAACACCTCTGATAGGCAGTCTACACTCGTCATACACGCCGTTAGTGTGCACCTTGAGCAAACCTCCATGAATCTTTGCGCACGAGACGACGGTACCGAGAGGAACAACGTCGACCGCTCCCCCAGCGTCTGTGACGCAAGTGGGTCGCATGAAAACAGCTGGCCCAAAAAGGTCCCCCTGAACAACGAAGTCCAAAAACCATGGTGCTCCCTTTGTGTGCATATACTGAGGAGTAGGTTGCTGTACAGGTCGTCCCTCCCCGGGGGCAGATGGTCCAGCGCTTGTGGATGTGTTCTTTG